TTTCTCAGTTGTTTTTAAAAGAGGTTGCGCGTGGTTACTATGAATATTCATAGTAACTACGCGCATCAAATGCTCAAAAATTAGTTTCTGTAGTGGTTACTATGAATATTCAAAGTAATCACTACAGAGGCGCCCTTCATGTGTATTTTCCAGGGTGCTGCGCGTGGCTACTATGAATTTTCATAGTAGTTACGCGCAGACCAATGAATTCAAAAGCCCTCAAAGTGGTCACTATGAAAATTGAAAGTGAGAACTACAGAGAGCAAAGTCACATACCTTGGTGGAAAGTGACCACTATGACTTGGGAAAGTGATTACCTTCATGGCTAACTTCAAAATTCGTTCTAGAGTGAATGCTTGGTGCCATAGAAATGATTATTCCTCCCTCTCTACTTGGACTTCCATGAATATATGTACAAATTGAGTCCAACTACAGCAATTTTTCCTCTACAAAAATTATGAACAAATCATCAATCAAATAATGAGTCAAGTGGTAAACAAAATGTTTGTGCAAAATGAACTAAGCAACATGACTAGTAACACAGCTCAAATGAAAGAATGCTTATTGAAATCAAAAGATAATTAGAAAGTGCTATAAAACTGTGAGTTGCCTCTCACAAAGCGCTTCTTTAACGTCATTAGCTTGACGTTAAATGGAGCTTTCACTCCAAAATAGTTAAAGAATCAAGATCAGCTGGAGGTTGATCTAGGAAAACTTCCTCCACATTGGTCTCAATTGTAGGACTCCCATGGAAAGGCTTTAGGCGATGTCCATTCACTTTAAAAACCTTGTTTGTAGATTCACTTTTTACCTCCACCGCTCCATAGGGAGAAATGGAAGTCACAATGAAAGGTCCGATCCACCTAGATCTGAGTTTTCCAGGCATGAGCTTCAAGCGGGAATTGAACAACAAAACTTTTTGACCTAAGAAAAACTCCTTTCTTGCTATTTTTCCATCATGAAAGGCCTTCGTCTTCTCCTTATAAATTCTGGAGTTTTCATATGATTCAAGGCGAAGTTCTTCTAATTCTTGCAAGTGCAATTTCCTTTGTTCTCCAGCTTTGTCTATGTCCATGTTACAGGCTCGCACTGCCCAATAAGCACGATGTTCTACTTCTACTGGAAGGTGGCAGGGTTTTCCATAGACAATTCTGTATGATGACATTCCCAAAGGAGCCTTGTATGCTGTTCTATGAGCCCAAAGAGCGTCATCAAGACGCTTGCTCCAGTCTTTCCTATTTGGCTGAACAATCCTTTCTAAAATCTTCTTAATTTCTCTATTGGAAAGCTCAGCCTGCCCATTGGTTTGGGGGTGATAAGGTGTAGATACTTTGTGCAATACTCCATACTTTTTCAGTAGAGTCTCAATGGTTCTATTGCAGAAGTGGGTACCCTGGTCACTAATCAAAGCTTGAGGTACTCCAAACCTACAAAACAAATGAGTACGCACAAAATATGCAACCACTCTTGAATCATTAGTTCTTGTAGGCTTAGCCTCTACCTATTTAGAGACATAGTCTACAGCAAGCAAAATATATAAGAAACCAAAGGAAGGAGGAAAAGGACCCATGAAGTCTATACCCCAAACATCGAATACATCATAGTATAAAATGGATTGTTAAGGCATTTCATGCTTCAAGGTGATTACCCCTCCAGTTCTTTGGCATTTCTCACATGTAGAACACACTTGCCAAGAGTCCTTGAAGATTGTAGGCCAATAAAAACCCGCATCCAGTACTTTCCTTGCAATCCTTTGGGGCCCAAGATGGCCTCCTACAGTGGATGCATGACAGAAATGCAAAATTGATGCAGTTTCTTCCTCAGGAATGCATCTCCTAATCACTTGATCACTACAGAACTTCCACAAATAGGGATCATCCCAGAGGTAATGCTTGGCATCATTCTTGATCTTTTCCCTTTTACTCCTTGGTGCATCTGCTGGAAAAACTCCTGCAACTAAAAAATTTACAATATCAGCAAACCAAGGCAACGTTGAAGTATACAACTCTAATAATTGCTCATCAGGGAAATCATCTTTTAGAGGAGTGAGTTCAGGGACTCCCTCTATCCTGCTCAAATGATCCGCCACCAAATTTTGTGCTCCACTTCTATCCTTTATCTCTACATCAAATTCTTGAAGTAGAAGCATCCACCTTATTAGCCTTGGCTTTGAATCTGTCTTTTTCAAAAGGAACTTAAGAGAAGAATGATCAGTAAACACCACAACTTTTGACCCTAGCAAGTATGATCTAAATTTATCCAAAGCAAATACTATGGCCAATAGTTCCTTTTCAGTTGTGGTATAGTTACACTGTGCAGGATCCAAAGTCCTAGATGCATAATAAATGACATGTGGATCCTTACCAAACCGTTGTGCTAAGACAGCACCCACAGCAAAGTTGGATGCGTCACACATGAGCTCAAATGGAAGTGTCCAGTTTGGTGGTTGAATGATGGGAGTTGTGGTCAAGGCTGTCTTTAGGCAATCAAACGCCTCTTTGCACTTGGCTCCAAACTCGAAATCAATATCTTTCTGCAGTAACTTGGAGAGAGGAAGGGCTATCTTGGAAAAATCCTTGATAAAGCGCCTGTAGAAACCTGCATGGCCAAGAAATGCACGCACCTCTCGCACACAAGAGGGGTAAGAAAGCTGTGAAATGACATTAAGCTTAGCAGGATCTACCTCAATTCCCTTCTCAGATATTATATGACCTAAGACTACCCCCTGCCTAACCATAAAATGACATTTCTCAAAGTTCAGAACAAGGTTAGTCTCTATACATCTTTGTAAAACTCTATCCAAGTTTCCTAAACATGCAGAAAATGATGACCCATATACAGTGAAGTCATCCATGAATACTTCAATACAATGCTCAACCAAATCAGAAAATATGCTCAACATGCATCTTTGAAATGTACCGGGAGCATTGCAGAGCCCGAATGGCATTCTCCTATATGCAAATGTACCAAATGGGCATGTAAAAGTGGTCTTCTCCTGATCCTCAGGAGCTATGCATATTTGAAAATAACCTGAGAATCCATCTAGGAAACAGTAGTGAGATTTACCTGTCAGGCGCTCCAGCATCTGATCTATGAAAGGTAGAGGAAAGTGGTCTTTCCTGGTCGCCTGGTTGAGCCTCCGATAATCAATGCAGACTCTCCAGCTGCTCTGCACTCTAGTGGACAAGAGTTCATCCTTCTCAGTCTTCACAACTGTAATCCCTGACTTTTTGGGCACCACCTGCACTGGGCTCGCCCATGTGCTATCTGATATCGGGTAGATGATGCCTGCTTGGAGTAGTTTGGTGATCTCCTTTTTCACCACCTCCAATATCATCGGATTTACCCTCCTCTGGGGCTGTCTTACTGGCTTGGATCCTTCTTCCAGCAAAATCCGGTGCATGCACAGGGAAGGGCTGATTCCAGGGATGTCAGCCAAGGTCCAACCAATAGCCTTTCTATGCTTCCGAATCACATCAAGCAACTGCTTCTCTTGGTCCTCATCAAGCTCAGTGGAAATGATCACAGGGAGCTTCTCACCTGTTTCCAAATAAGCGTATTTTAAATGCTCAGGCAAGGGTTTAAGCTCCAAGGTGGGAGGCTGCTCAACTGAAGGCAGTGCTTTAGCACTTTCATTTGAAATGATTTCTGCAACATTTAAACCACAAGCGTTAGATTCAATTATACTTGCTGTACTCAATGAACCACATCTAACCCTTTTGATTTTTCAATGTCATTAATGTCAGAAGTTGCAGAATCTAAATCCAGAAAATCAGCAATACAAATATCACACAAAGATGATTTAGTATAATATTCACAATTTTTAGTATCTATGGTATCTATACAATCAGAAAAATCAACGAAAGAGTCTCCTAAAAATTCAGCAAAATTATCATCTATCAAGCTATCAAGAACATCAATGTGAAAAACTGAATGCTCCTCAGGAGAGTGCTTCATAGCATCTAGTATGTTGAAGCGAACCACACTCTCTCCAAACTCCATAGTGAGAGTTCTAGCATGCACATCAATTTTGGTCCTGACCGTCTTCAAGAATGGCCTCCCCAAGATGATTGGTGCAACTCCTTTTATTGGCTCTTCTTCTTGCATGTCCAAGATGTAGAAGTCAGCAGGAAAGATCAAGTCATTCACTCTCACTAGAACATCTTCCACAAGGCCGGCTGGATTAGTAGTGCTCCTATTTGCTAATTGGATGATGACACCCGTGGGCTGCAATGGTCCAAGAGACAAAGATGTGAAGATGGATAAAGGCATAACATTAATAGATGCACCTAAATCAAGCATAGCATTATCTATCCTATTGTTTCCTATAGTGCAGGGAATAGTAAACGTCCCTGGATCTTTGCATTTCTCAGGCATGAAAGTTTTCTGCCTCTCAAAAAGAGCTGATACATTTCTCCCCATGTTCACTCTTTCATTACCCTTTAGACGCCTTCTATGAGTGCACAAGTCCTTAAGGAATTTGGCGTACTTTGGGATTTGGTTGATAGCATCTAACAAGGGGATATTGACTTCAACTTTTCTGAAAGTATCCAAAATTTCTTTATCAACCTCTTCTTGCTTCTTGCTGGGCTAAACCATTCTTTGAGGGAAGGGAATAGGAATAGACCTCTCCTCCTTGTCTACCACTTTTGGTTGACATGGTGTGGGCATAAGTGCAGGCTGCTCTTGGCTTCCAACTTCTCCTCCTTCACCTTCTGCAGCTAAAGTGCAACTGGGATCCTTTTCAGTAGGCATTTCTGGCTCTTGCATCACCTTACCAGATCTCAAGGTAATGGCACTCACATTCTTTGGGTTTGTGACAGTTTGTGCAGGGAGATTGCTTGAGCCTTGAGATTGAAGTTGATTAAAGGATGAAGCAAGTTGACCCATTTGATTCTCCAAGGTCTTGATACTTGCTTGAGTCTGTTGCTGGAAGACTTGACTCTGTTGTTGGAAATTGAGATTACTCATGGTGAGTTGCTTCACAAGGTCTTCCAAAGATGATTCATTCTTTTGAGGTGCAGCGGCTATTGAAGAAGATGCTTGATGGTGCTATTGAGATGAAGATGAGGGATGGTGATGTTGCTGGGCTGAATATGGCTTCCTTTGCCCAGCTTGATGCGGTTGGAAATGGTTGTTAGTTGGTTGGCTAGAACCTTGATGCTGTGCATTTCCTCCCCATCTTAAGTTAGGATGGTTCCTCCAACCGGGATTATACCTATTGGAAGATAAATCCCAGCTTTGTTGTTGCTGCGGCTGCTGAAAAGGAAACTTATTAGCATAAATATTAGCAGCATAAGCTTGAGGATTACCTTCTGAAGATTCAGTTTCCTGCAATGTGGGGCAACTATCAGTGAAGTGATCCGTAGATGAACAAATCCCACAAAGCATTGCTGGAATGGATGAAGGTGGAGGTGTATATGCAGTAGAATTCTTTTGAATGGATGCCAATTGTTTTACCATAGTAGCCAACTCATCTAGTTTATGCTCCAGCTTGTGTGAATCTGAAGTTTGAATTTCATTGACACTTCTGGACATAATGGAATTTTGCCTTGTAGCAAACTGTTGAGAGTTAGCTGTCATATTCTCAATGAGGTTTCTAGCGGCTGCGGAAGTCTTGTCAACTAGGGCTCCCCCACTAGCTGCATCGATCATGCTCCTATCCATTGGGTGTAAGCCTTCATAGAAGTATTGGATTAGGAGTTGGTCACTTATCTGATGATGGGGGCAGCTAGCACAAAGTCTCTTGAAACGGTCCCAATATTCATACAAACTTTCCCTCTCCAGCTGCCTAATACCACATATTTCCTTTCTTATTGAGGCAGCCCTTGAAGCAGGGAAAATTTTTTCCAGGAACAATCTCTTGAGGGTGTCCCAACTTGTAATAGAGCCAGGTGGAAGATAATACAACCAGTCTTTAGCCAAATCCATAAGAGAGAATGGAAATGCCTTCAATTTGACATGTTCCTCAGGCACACCTTGTGGTCTCATTGTAGAGCAAACAATATGAAATTCTTTGAGGTGTTTATGCGGATCTTCACCTGCAAGACCATGAAACTTAGGTAAAAGATGGATTAGGCCAGTTTTAAGAACAAAAGGGGCATCCACATCTGGGTATTGGATACATAAAGTATGGTAGGTCACGTCCGGTGCGACAAGCTCCTTAAGTGTCAAGTCATTTTCTGCCATTTCTAAAGGTTCAGAATTTAAAGAATGCAGAGAAGAATATATAGAAGATGGAGAAAATGGTGAAGATGGTTCCTCAATATGTGCAGAATTTTGTCTACTAAGGTTCCTAAGATTTCTATGGAATGTCCTATCAATTTCAATATCTGGAGGATATAAATCTCCCGGATTTGATCTGGTCATTCATTAGGAATTGTCTATGGAAATTTGAAAAGAAGTAAACTAATGAAGCAGTAAAAATGCAGAAAAATTCAGATCACAATTATGCAGAAAAACTAACATCTAAGTGCAGTAAAATAAAGTATTAACACCAAACAGCAAAAACAGAAAGAAATTGCAAACTAGGGAATAAAAATAGACAACACACAAACACAAATTCTGCAGAATTATGCAGCAGAAACAAGGTAATTGCAGCAAACGAAAATACAGTGTGGTAACTAAAATGCAGAACTCAGAATTCAAACAATATGCAGAAAACAGCAATTGATTCTACCTAAATGTAAGATATCTCTACTTACCTATGAAACTACAACTATATTAAAGTATTCACAATGCAGAAAACGAAAATGAAAACAGAGCAAATAACATGTTTATGAAAAATCAACACCAATGTTCCTCGGCAACGGCGCCAATTTGATGATGGTCTTTTTCGAGGTGTTTAAAAGATTTGTCGTAAATCCTCATCAAAATTTAAACAAATTAATGTAGTACTAGGGTAACCCTAGATTGTCTCCCATGAACATTGGTTATTAATCTTCATTAAACATGTTGAAGACATTAATTAAACAAGCAATTAAAATGGGGGTTTTGTGGTTTCAAATTAAAATAAAGAGCAATGAGCAAATGAGTTTAATTAATTCAAACAATAGAAAACAGCAATCCTTAGTTCATCCACATAAATTCTATCCTCATTCCACTCAAGATTTAACATTCATCCTCTCTTCCATGAATTAGGTTAATTTAACAAGCGAAAATCAACCTTATGGTCCCAACGAAATTACGCAATTTGTTAGGCTCTAATCTCTCATCCCAAAATTACGCAACCTTAGAATTAAACCTAGGATTAAGCAACTCTTAGTTTAGAATCTCCTTAAAATGAAATTAGGGTTAATTGAGCAATACCCCCCTCATTCACCATTAATTCAATTCAAGAGACAAGGAAGAAGTAATTCATGAAAGAAAGGAATTATATTATCATTAAATTCAAGGAACTCAAGAACCCATGTGAATTCACTAAGGATTACACAAACTTAGCCCTCCATGGAAATGGGGGTCAAAAACGCAATTGGGAAATGCAGAAAACTCATTAACATTAATGCAAAAGCAAGAGAAATGAGAAACCAAACCCTAGGTTGGACCCTTGGCTGTCACCCAAGGTTGCCCTGAGCTCTGGAAAATATCCTACTTTAGTAAAGAAGAAAAAAGGTTCAAAAAGTGTAAGAACTCCCTACCCTAATTTGGTAAAAATCTATTTATACTAAAGCTGGCGCCCTCCAAAGTTGTTACTCTCATTCTTTCATAGTAACCACGAGCAGCATCAGTTGGGTTTTTCCTCTCTGGAGTGATTACTATGAATATTCATAGTAGTTACGCGCAGCACTGGGATATTTTGGGTCTTTGGAGTGATTACTATAAATATTCATAGTAGTTACGCGCAGCACCTTCAATTTTTGCATGCTCTAGAGTGGTTACTATGAATATTCATAGTAACCACGCGCAGGTTTGGTTGATTCTGGGCTGCTGTAGTTGTCACTTTAAGCTTTGAAAGTGATCACTTTGGTCCCTTTGCTGGAAGTGGCTTGCTGTAATTGTCACTATCAATATTAAAAGCAGTTACTTTCACCTCAAATTCCTCAAAATCCAATGATTCTTCAAAATAAGCTTGGGAATCCCTGCCATATTATTCAAATGATCAAAACATGAAAAATAAACTATCTAAATCAATGTAAATTAACCAAAAACTAAGAAGCCTATATTATTTAGCCTAATTGGAATATTCATCTTATTTACGCTATCTAAGTCTATTCTTTTCTATAAAAAGTAATAAATGATGTATAAAAATTTAGTAAAATGTGGATTCATCAACTTTCTTCCTTTGATATTATTTATTTTGATTTAGCAGATATATTCAGAAGTTTTTGTTCAAAAGTCTTTGGGATTAAGTACAAGGATGAGGATGCATACATGTCATGTACTATTCGTAGGCAATTATACCTATCAAAAACTAATAAAGAGTATTTGAATTAAGAGTTCCCAAGTTATCCTCCCACAGAGATTATTTCAAGTACCAAGAATAACTTAATTTGATTGTTTAAACGTAATAGGATTGTAACAAATAAAAAAAAGAGCTTAATGTTAACAATAAATTAAAAGAACAATAACACAATGCGAGAGATTGATGCATTTTAAAATAATTATGTTTACAAAAATGGAGTCACTTTAATTTTTATTGAAAGTGACAAAAATTAAAAACCTTTTAAAAAGAAAAATGGTCTACGGATTTAAGAGTTTATTTATTTGAAGGGAATAATAGAAACGTAATCCCACAACACACCTAATTCATCCATCTTAAGTGTATACCGGAAGTAAATTGTGCAAATTTATAATAACTTTAAAAAATATATATTTTACCCCTTTGCAACAATTTAAAAGAATAAAAATATTGAAATATTAAACAAACAAATAAACAAATAAATAAGTTAATAAATGATTAAGAGACAAAAAAGAGAAATAAATATAAAAAACAAATTTACCCTAATGATTTTGTTTTGTTTTGTGACATATCTTCTTGTGCAATCAAAAACTCAAAGTTACATAATTCTTAAAAATGAATAAAAATGTAAACAAAAAACAAAAAAAAAAAATAAAGTTATCTACAAGTTTAAGACAACTAAGTTAACACATCAAATATCCTATTTTAAAAGTAGAGGGTTAACATAGGTTACCTAAGTTAACCTTTTATAAAATAAAATAAAAATATATATAATTTAAATTAAATTTAGAATTATCAACCTATAACAATTCAAGTGTCGCTAATTAAATTAAAAAGAATTAATAAGACATATCACTTAAGTTAATCATTTTTGCCTTAAAAAAAATATGCTTGTCTAACACTATAATAACAAAAAGAAAGAGAGAAAAAATAACTTCAATATGATAATTCATTCATCTAATTTTAACTTTTTTTTATCAAAACAATGACACTTAAGTCCATAATTAATATTAAAATGGAGACAGGAAAATAAATAATACATTTTATTGAATCGTGAACGATCAACAATATACAGAAGTAAATAGAAGCTTTAAGAACAAACATTTAAATTTTCACTTTTAAATAAAAGAGAAAGTGCTATAATATTGTTATACATTTATTTTAATTGAGGGTGGTGGATGCTCTTTTTGAATTGCACATAACAAATGAGAGTAAGAGCACCACAGGTCTCACACTTGTTTCTTGACTTAAACTCGTGACCATACTTTTGCTAAAAGGGATCAACACATTGTATCCATGTAGTTGCGGCTATCTAACAACTATCTGTGCTAAGGAAGACCTTGAGGGATCCCAGGGCAGTGAAAGTGTAAAATGAGATGCTAATAAAGAGAGAATGTAATAAGTTGAATAACTAATAAGTATTACTTTTGTATGAGCATGATCTTGTGACATGATGTTTTGTGGTATTTGCCTTATTTGTATGGTTGAATTGGTTGTGCATGTATGCTTGGTAATGAGAATAGAGACTCATCCTTACAAACATTTTCAAGAAACCATGATGACAGAACCAAAGGAAAGGATTAGGCTGATAAGTAGTTCTATAACTAATAGGCTTAATCATATATTTAATGAATACCAGAGAATATGCTTCTTTAGAATTGTTATACATGTTGATGTGGTACTTAGGAATACTAGTATGATAGAAATGGAACTATATTATAGTATCCATATTGATTTCCCTGTAAGTAGAATACAACACACTTTGTGTGTATATATCTTCTCCGGCACAGTTAGGACCCCAGCCGCTATGACTTACCTGTTTATATATCACGACCACAATCATCTGGGAAGACCTTCTAGATGGACTTTTGAGCGTGTTACCGGTAGGGAGGCTACTACTAACTCAGGTGATCGTTACCTTGAAACAGATGATGACCTTGATTCTAAAGACCTAGTAGAAATATAGAGTTGGCATGAGACCGATTAGTACTGGGTTCTCAGTGTCTAGTATATTTTGGGGAATGCTCTGGACTTAATTTGTCAAATTGATGTAATTATTTTAACTGTGTAAATGTTATTTTAAGTCCCATATATTTTGACAAAAAGTTTGTAAATTATTATACTTGATATGTATAAAATGCATGTTTAGTTCTTAACTAAGAAAATTTTGACTATGGATTATTACATTCTTTAAACTCATTGCCATGTTTATTAATATTGTACGCATTTGAACATTTTGTTTACAATGAACCCATCCACAATAAGACTTTCATTGTGATAAGTCTGTAATTAGGCCCTTTTCCACGGTCCATATATTTATGTTTAGCCTTTATTTTAATTGAATTTTACACTAATTTATATGTTGAATGTGCATTTTAATATGAAGAGGCCACAAGTGGATTTTGGGCCCAAATTAGTGAAAGATCAGAGCTTCGCAACAGTCAGCACACCCAAGCCCAATTATAAAGAGCTTTTAGGGTTTTTAAACCCTATAAAAGTGATACCTCAGATATCTTGAGAGACCTTTCACATCTTGTCTTTCACTCTTCGATACATCTTTCATCTTATGTTTCTTGCATGGAATCGCTGGTATACTCTTGGTGGGACTTGAAGCTTCGGGCGACCGTACTTGAAGACTGAAAAATCATCTCTTTCTAGCTTGCTTTTCTCTATGGCTTTGTTTATAATTATTTTAGTTCTTCTCTTTAGCATGAGTAATTAAGTCCATAACTAGAGCTATGGAAACTATTATTCATGAATTTATGGGATTTTAAAGTTTGAATCTATATTTGGTTTCCATTCATGACTAGCTTTTATCCTATTGCACATAATTATAATCCTAATTAATTATATCTTCAGGTGACCGTACCTCGATTAGTTAATAGATCTATAGGATAAAACGAGACAAAAGATTAGATAGACCAAACTAATTTTTTTCTTCCAATCGTTATTAAATTAACAACTTCATAGGTCGCTTTCTTCAATTGACGTCTTGCATGATCATTGAGAATCTTAATTTAGAAAAAAGAATATTAGTATTGCATGATAATTGGGTATTACTAGTATTTGTATGAATAATTGGTGATCATAAAGAAATCAAATTTAGAGTTAAACAGAAAAATAACATAAATTATTTAATGAAAAAACTCATATGCCCTAAGATCCTCTCCTATAAGTTTAACCAAGACGTGTGTTATATTATTTGTTTTTATTCAAGATTAATTTAATAATTAAATTCTAGATCTTACTTAATTTTACATCTTTTAAGTTCAAATAATTGAATTAAGAAATTCTTGGTAATTAAAAATAATTTTTATGGGTCGATAACTTGAAAACTCTTTTCAAAAATCCTTTATTACTTTTTGACGGGTACACTTGCCTATGAACAAATTAATTTTATATAATAATATTAAATAATACAGAAAATGGCATTTCCATCCTAAATAATTAATAAAGAATGTGATTTCTATACTTTAAAATTTTAGGATGTTACAATTACCTTTTTGTTTTTTATAATAATTTTTCATCTACAATCACACTAATACCTAACTGTGAAATTGTTATCAAAATAGATTAAATGACAATGATTTTATCATTTAATTTTTTATGTGTTTTGAAAATTATATTTTAGTTGTGGGTAAAAAAATTGTTGTTTAAAGCTTCAAACATTAGTTATATATTTTCCTATATAAAAATATACTAGCCCTGATATTGTTTTTTTAATAAGGCACCGTTGTCTTTTCTTATTAGATACTTTATAGTTTCTATGAAACAGTTATTATGTTTTTCATTTGTCCGAGTTAGTGGGAACATAAATTTAGACTAAAGTGGAGAATGGTAATAGGTTCAATGGTATTAATTAAGGAGAAAATTGCTATATTATAATATGTTTTTAAAAATTATGAAACTCAACTAACTTAAACTAGTTTTATTAGTTTAGTAATTCAGTTAAATTAAAGGTATGTGGAATGGAATAAAGAGAGAAATATAATAACACTTATTAGAGCAATTTGAACTATTTTTTAAAAAAACGTGAAGTGTTTTTTTTTCTTGGTACAGTAGTAATCTCATAAAGATCATTTCAAATTTCTCAATCAATTTTGAAGGGTTTTAAAAATAAAGTTTTTATTGGGACTAGATTTGTACTATTCAATTAATTGTAATCAAATATTCTTTTAAAAGATCTTGATCATATGCAGTCATTTAAATTAACAATTAAAATATGTATATAATACATATAATTTAAATATACTGAATACTAAATATAAATAACTCTGTTATAATATGGATACATTAACTAGCTGAAGTATGTTCTATTATTTTTTATGTCTTAAGTTATTTGTCATTATTTGAAATTTAAACAATAATATATAAGTGAATAAAAATAATAATTTTAAATATAAGAGAAGTATAAATAACTTGTTCAAAAATATAAATCCTAAAAGCTCTCTTGTTAAAAAAATACCCCCAAAAAATTGGTATATACAAGACACTGATATAATACAGAAACGTGGTCACAATAAATTATTATCTTGGTGCATGTGTAAGTATTTTTCCGATGAATTTGATTAAGCGTAGTGTGAAGCCATTAATTAAAAGCGACACTAAAACACAACAGCTTCATACTAAAATTTGGCATCGCTGTTCGAAGGAATGATTCCTCATACTAAAATTGAAGATTTTAATTTACCAAAATTTAAAGGTACTGAACAAAACATGCAACACTTAGTTACATTACAATCTATCGTATGAAAGTAGTAATAGATCACAATATCAGATTAAGCTAAGCTATAAACCCAGAAGATGAACTATATCATTAATGTATAAAAGTAAAGGCAAGAATAATTGTTACCAAAAGTAGGGCATATGAATGAGAAAATACTCAATATTTTCACTCGGCTACATAGCCAAATTTGGCAACTTGGTCTACCGTTTTTTCTATTTGGTCTAAACAATATGACCTTAAGTTAAAAAAAACCACCTTAAGACAAGATTTGGTTAAATAATAATATATAAACTTATTTTAATAAAATTGTAAAACATGACAATCGTACTAAAACAAAACTATCAAATAAAATCCTTGTAGATTGATGCATTTTAAAATAATTATGTTTACAAAAATGAGTCACTTTGAATTTTATTGAAAGTGAAAAAAATTAAAAAACCCTTTTGAAAAGGAAAATGGTCTACGAATTTAGGAGTTTATTTATTTTAAGGGAATGATAGAAATGTAATCCCGCAACACACCTAATACATCCATCTTAAGTCTATACCGGAAGTAAATTATGCAAATTTATAATAACTTTAAAAAATATTTATTTTATCCCTTTGCAACAAATTAGAAGAATAAAAATTTATTAAAATATTAAACAAACAAATAAATAAGTTAATAAATGAGTAAGAGACAAAAAAAAAATATAAAAAAAATTTAGCCTAAAAATTAGTTTTGTTTTGTTACATATCTTCTTGTGCAATCAGCAACTCAAATTTACATAATTCTAAAAAATAGATAAAAAAAAAAGTAAAAAAATAAAAACAAAATAAAGTTATCTACAAGTTGAAGATAACTAAGTTAACACATCTCAAGTATCCTATTTTAAAAGTAAAGGGTTAACATAGGTTACCTAAGTTAACTTTTTATAACATAAAATAAAAAATATATATATAATTTAAATTAAATTTAGAATTATCAACCTATAACAATTCAAGTGTCTCTAATTAAATTAAAAAGAATTAATAAGACATATCACTTAAGTTAATTATTTTAGCCTTAAAAAAATATGCTTGTATAAAACTAGTAACAAAAAGAAAGAGAAAAGAGATAACTTCAACAGAATAATTCATTAATCTAATTTTAATTTTATTTTATCAAAACAGTGACACTTAAGTCCACAATTAATATTAAAATGGAGACAGTAAAATAATAAATCTATTTACGTTTGAAACATGGGTGAAAGTTTAAAAACGCGTATTAGCCTATTTTATATCATTCGTTTCATTTTTTGGCTTTTGTGGATCTCTCCTAGTTCCTGGGTCCATGTACCACTCTTCTAACGCTGTTTCTTAATCGTTTTCAACCACTTTTTCTTGTTTTCGTATTCAACTAACAATGTGAAATGAAAGGTCAATTTTATAAATTATTTTAATTTAAAATAATGACATGATTACATGCATAAGAATAAAGAAAGAAAAGAAAATGATAAAGTTATACTTTAGTTTTTTTTTGCCAAACGCGTGAACAAGGAGTGGCCTACTTCACAGTGTTCGTTTCATTGTATAGATCTGTGCTCCTTTCCTCACTGTTTCTACACATTATTGCATTCCTCTCTTTGATTGTCAATATCAACCCTTCTTCATCTTCTCTTTCACTGATGGCCAAGTTTGAGTCAGTTCCGTTTGCTGTTGCTTCAAACCTCATTCACAGGTTAGCTTCTGCAGATTTTCTTGAATTTTAACAGAATTTAGTGTATATTTCGATTCTTACTCTGAGTTGTGTTAAGTTTAACTGCGTTTGTTAACTCATAAACTCAGTACCAAAGACTGTTATTAATTAATCATGTGTTTCTTTAATTCTTTCATATAAATTGTTTAGTTTCCAATTTAGTTTGTATTTTATTATATTTTATTTTTCTAATCTCAGTTTTTAACACAGTTTGATGTGTGTGTGTGTTTAAATTTATTTAATGTTTGGCATATGAAGTTTATTTTGTTGTATTGTTTTATAGTGTTTTTGTCTTTTCACCGTTAATGCAATAAAAGCTTTTTAGGAGATAAAAAAAATACTCTTATTATATTACAAAAAAAATTGATATTTCTTTTTTTTTTATTTAAGAATTTTATTTTTATGCTTTCTTTTATCTTTTTTATAAGTACCTATTTCTTCTCATAGCTTTTATTTGTCCTTATTTTATTTTTTGAGTTTTAACCATTCACCCTTTTATTTTTTTCTCAAGTTTCTATCTTCTTATTTTTAAAATAATTAGCATTTTAAATTTTGTTCACCGATTGATTATTTTGTAGTTTTTACTTTTCTACTAAATTATAATTTAACTGAACTCCAAGTAAATCATAATTATATTAAATTTTAGCAAAAATTTTGATTAGATTTATTAATTAAAATTTTAGAATTATTATTTTTGTCTATTTTATTAAGAGTAAATTACAATCTTCTATCTTAAAATTACACTATATTACCCTCCATTCTATTTTAAAATTAAATAATATTCTCTCATAAAAAATAAAATTTGTATCAAATTTTAATACATTTTAAGGTTTTTGTAAAGCGTTGTTAAACACTTTTATGTCCTAATTTTATTTTATTTTAAATTTTTTTATCTATAGTCTGATTTTCATCGGTTGTGTAAACGAAACTTAACACAACCAAATTTAACAACCTGAATAATTGGTTGTGTAAACGAAAATTATGGGTATGTTTATTATAATATTATGCTAGGAGAGTTTTAAAGCGATACTAAATATTATTGGTAAAATATTTTCGTAGATAAAATATTAAAATATATTCTTAAAAATTTAAATAATATCAGGTATATGAAATAACATTATTAGACAACGTTTTAAAAAGCATTATAATATTACCTAATAATAAAGTTTTAAATATAATTTATGAATGTGAATTTTAAGAACGCTTTTAAGAAAATTTTCAAATGACTGTACTTTTAAAAATTGATTCCATTTTTTACTATGCCAGTTGTTTTTATTATATTAATTATTTATTTTAATTCATTATTAAATTAAATTTTGAGAAGATTTTTAATTTAATTTTAATTTGAAATTTATTTATTTACCTCATATAATAAAATATTTCTTATTAATAAATATAATATTTAATTTTTTTTAATTTTATAAATTTGTTGAATTTTCAAAATAGTTGTGTAATATATATTTATAATTATTTAGTAAAAAATATTAAAATCAGTCGTATGTAATATTATGGTGTGTCAGTTAATATTTAAATCTGAAAGAGAAAGTTTTTAATATGACACCTATTAATATTTAGTACTATGAGTTTATATAAGTTTTATGTTCAGCCCCATAAATTTAGTTGAATCACTCAATTCAGGCAAAATAAAAACTCAAATAGGCTAAGAATGATACCAATAAAGTGCGTAACAATTTAAAATTGGCAAAGATACCTTCATTATTTGAAATTATTGGTTCCGTTATTATTTATTTTAATTAGATTCAAACATTTGTATTATACATATACATGTTATTCTTTGACATAATTTCATTTTTAACTAACCATAGTATTCATATTTTTATTTTATTTATTTTATATATAATATATAAATACTTAAAATATTAAATGATATTACAGTAATTTAAAATAAAAACTCAAACAATCGTAAAAACAAAAATCAGAAAATTTAAGTGTCTCCTACATTTTTGCGAACGAGAATTTCACCGTAGCAATATCGGCTGTGAGAACCCCGTCCTCCATTGTAGCTTTAATCTCATCTCGTCTACAATATGACTTTGGTAACAATATACGAATAAGTTTTGTTACAATTGCAAACCCTAATTGGAATTTCGAAAAGCCCCAAATTCTGCTGTGAAATCCAATCCCATAGCGAGCGATGATGAAGGTGCTGGATGCAGCTACTACTCTCAACACTCTTTTCTCGTGCCTTCTTTATTAACGCGCGGTCCGGGGAATCGTAGATTTGAACTCAGTTGTTCGAGTGTGTTGGCGTGGTCGGTGCCCACGACCACTTGGTTAGCCTCTGACGCTCTCCTGCATCGTCTTTGCTCACGTTCTCGCAGTGACAACGCAAACGCTCTCATCGGTGTACATCCAAGAATCTAGAAGTTGGAGAATTTAATGGTGGAACGGAGGTCTAGAGGAAGGGTAAAATTTGGTGGACATCTTGAAAAAGTTCTCAACAATTCCACATCATACTTTTTTACGAATTTTTCACTTGTTACTGGTGTTTCAACCTTGTGGCGGGTATTTCAACGGTGGGAGAAGGTGGTTGATGTTTTCATACCTCAAAAGAGTAATAAACTAGGACGTCGCTTTGGTTTTGTGCGTTTTATAGATGTGGCGGATGCCAAGAGTTTGGAGGCTAAGCTTAAATCTATTGTCATTGACAGAATGCGCTTGTCTATCAACTTGACGAGGCATGCAAGGGAGAAAACTGTGGGTACAAAGGTGTCTGCGGAGGGCAGTGAAACGAGACTCTCTTTTGTCACAGGAGCTACAAAGACGTCAGGGAATACGTATGCGGAAAAGCTTAAAGCACCCCGTCTAGTTGAGACACACATAAGGCAGAAGTGGGTGGAAAAGAAGAAACCTTAGGCTCACCTTGAGTTTGAGGTGAATGAGGGGCAAATTGAGGAATGTAGAGGTGTTATGGTTGGACGCCTTCATAGAAAACAGGATTTAAAAAATATGCGATGGGCTCTTCTGCGAGAAAGTATGTTGGATATTAATCTCACGACCATGGGTGATGATATAGTGTTAGTGGAATCTGATGCGAGGTAGATTTAGAGGATACAGTATCGCTCAACAAATTGTGGTGGGAGAAATGGTTCTATGATCTACGAGAATGGCACCTAAGTATGGTAGCTACGCGGAGGGTGACTTGGGTACAGTCTTATAGGGTCCCTTTGCCAGCTTGGAGTGAATTATTCTTCCGTAAGTTGGTTTCTTCGCTTGGTGATTTTATCCAGATAGACCAAGTCACGGCAGAAAGACGACGATTGGATTATGGGAGGATACAAGTAGGTACTACCATTGCTAAGCTTATCAAACAAAACATTACAATGAAAGTCAATGATCGTTTTTATTCAATAGTCATGCTTGAAGAGCATGCCTGTGACGTAGTAGCCGCAACAAAGGAAGGCGTGGCTAACTCTTCTGAGGATGGCAATGACTCATCTGATGTTGGTTCAATGGAGTTGGAAGCGTTGGATAACTATTCTAGTGAGGAGGAGGGTGTGCTGCAAGGTGATATCAAAAGTAAGGGTCATTTGGTTGATTCTGTGATTAGGGGTGAAGTGTTAGCAAAAGGGTGTTTGGTGGATGAGGGTTTGGGGGCTGGTGGTATAGATGCTATGGGTCCGACGGTGGCTATCTTTGATGCTGTGAATGAGCCTTCTGAAAATGTAGAGAGGGGAGTCCCAATAGCAAGAGATGGGTTGAATTTGTCAGACCCGTTTGGATTAGATGCATTGATTTGGGAAAATCCAGAATCACGGAATATGAAGACAATTGGGACAGCGCAAGTCGACCCCTTTCAATCCAAAATTTTGAAAGAGGGGGTCAATGTGTGTGAATCCCTTCGAAGGGCACGCTCTGTGAAAGGTAGTCGAGGTAATGAAGGAGGGAAGAGACATAAGAGCGCAATTTTCATAGAACCCCCTCAAAAAAAACCTTAAGAATCATAACAAAGAAGCGTCAATGCTATCACAACTTAGAAGACAGGTATCGCTACCTGATGAAATATCAGCTAATGCTTCCAAGAGCTCCTATAACTCGCATCCTTCTAACCCTTCAGTGGAGGTGGGGGAGCGAATGACTACTACAAATTGTGATGATGAGGTAATGGCGTCGAGGTTACTAGACATTGGCAAGAAGGTTGGTTTGGTTGTACATAGGAATGATAAGCAGGTTCGAGAGAAATTGATTAAGATGGAGGTACGTGATAGAACGATTGTGAGAGAACATGGGGTTCGCTTTGATTCTAAATGAAGATTGGCTCATTTAATTGTCGAGGGCTGGGGAGCGAGGTAAAGCAAAAGAAGGTGTGTGAGATTGTTCGCTCTGAAGGTCTGGAGTTCTTGGCAATTCAGGAAACAAAACTTGAGACATGTAATAGTAATTTATGTTCGTGTCTGTGGGGTTCTGTAGATTTTGATTGGTGTGTCTTGCCCTCCATTGGCAGAAACGGGGGTATGCTTTCACTTTGGGATACTTCCAAAGGTAAAATACTTTTCTCCTTTTCTAGTACTGGATTCCTAGGTGTTTGCTTGCAAGTATTGGCTACTGGAAACCTATGTGTTGTGGTGAATGTCTATGCATCGTGTAGACTAAGTGAGAAGAGAAAGTTATGGGATGATTTGCTCATGACAAGAAGGGGTTTTGGCAAATTTATGTTGTGTATATTGGGTGACTTCAATGTTGTGAGACAGGTGAAAGAGAGGAAGGGTTGTCAGGCAGACCATGGTATCTTTGAAATGGATGGCTTCAATTCTTTCATTCAGGAAATGGAACTTGTGGATCTTCCACTTGTGGGTAAAAAATTTACATGGATAAAAGGGGATGCTTCTATGATGAGCAGGTTGGATAGAATCCTTGTTTCTAGTTCCTGGCTTGATTACTAGGGAGATGGTTTCATTCAAGTTCTGAGCAGAGATGTGTTTGATCATTGTCCTATTATTCTTACACAAAGTGGTTAACTGGGGTCCGAAGCCATTTTGATTTAATAATTGTTGGCTGACTCATAAAGGAGTTGTGGAGGTGGTTAAGGAAGCATGGAAAAGAGATATTAATGATTTACCGAGCGTCTCTGTTCTACAGAATGAGGGGCTTGTTAATGCTTTTTCGAAAGAGAAAGTGGGAAGGATGATTTTGGAGTGTGAGGGGGATAAAAGTCCAGGGTCTGATGGTTTTAATTTTGTATTCCTTAAGAGGTTTTGGAGAGTGATCAAGGAAGAGGTGATGGGTATGCTTACTGAATTTTGTAGAAATGGGAAACTACCTAGGTCTTTGTTATCTTACTTTATAGCACTTGTGCCAAAAGTGTCTTGCCCACAACAGATATCTGATTTTTGGTCTATCTCATTATTAGGTTGTCTTCATAAGATTGTTTCTAAGCTTTTAGCAAATAGGTTGAAAGGGGTTTTGGATTCAATAATTTCAGAAGAACAATCAGTCTTTATCCCGGGAAGGAACATGTTAGATAGTGTGCTTGTGGCTAATGAAGTAGTTGATTATGTACAGAGGTATAACAAGAGGTGTTTTGTGTTAAAGCTTGATTATGAGAAGACTTATGATTCAGTGAAGTGGGAATATCTTTTGTTTATGTTACGTAGCTTTGGATTTTCAGAAAAATGGGTCAGTTGGATGGAAGCTCGTGTGTGGGGTTAGCCTATCAGCTTTGATTAATGGTTGTCCTACATTGGAGGTTCATATTGAGCGGGGCCTAAAACAGGGGGATCCTCTTACCCCTTTTCTTTTTCTTGTGGCAGCGAAAGGGTTAGGAGTTCTTATGCAGAAGGCAGTGGCTTGTGGGTTGTTCTCTGGTGTGAAGATTGGGGTAGGGGACTAGATATTTCTTTGCTGCAGTTTGCGGATGACACATTGATTATGGGAGAGGCTTCGGTGCAGAATTTGTGGACTTTGAAAACAGTATTGCGTAGCTTTGAATTAATGTCAGGTATAAAAATTAACTTTCATAAATCTTGTGTATTGGGGATTAACACTGGTGATGACTTTGAAAACTTGGCTGCGAAGTTCCTACATTGTAAGATTGGTAGTTTCCCATTAAAGTATCTCGGGTTACAGTTAGGTGTTAACCCGAGAAAGCCTAATGTATGGAAAGGTGTGTTAGAGGCTCTTAAAAAGAGGTTAGTGTCTTGGAAGCATAGGTATTTATCGATTGGAGGCAGGGTGACTTTGATTAATGCTATTCTTAATTCTATGCCATTGCACTTGTTATTATTTTTTAAGGTGCCGAAGTCGGTGATAAAGAAGATTGTCACTATCTAACGGAATTTTTTATGGAAGGGTGTTAAGGATGGATCTAAAATTCCTTGGGTGAAATGGGAAACGGTATGTAGACCGCGAAAGAATGGTGGCTTGGGCATTAAAAATGTGCAGTGGTTTAATTAGGCGCTTCTTGGTAAATAGTTATAGCGAGGTGTTAATTGTCCTAGTTCATTATAGGTGCAGGTGTTGCAATCTAGATATGGAAGATTAGCTTCTTCTATTCAGCGTTCATTAGTTTACAACAGATATTCTTTGTGGTGGCGTGATTTGCTGGAGGTTATTCATCAAGGGTATTCATGGCTGGATAAGAAGTTTGATAGAAGTGTAGGTGCAGGTTTACACACTCTTTTTTGGAGAGATAAGTGGGTAGGCGGGGTGTGATTGTGTGAAGCATTTCTGCTATTGTTTGCGGTGGCGAGAAATGCTGAATCATGTGTATTGGAGAATGGTTTTCATGATGGCACTAGGTGAGTTTGGGATGTTAGTTAGCGAAGAGGACTCTTTCAACATGAGATCTCAAGCTTTAATATTTTGTTGGAGCTTGTGGAAAGAGTTTCAATTAAGTTATTACAAGAAGATAAATGGGTATGGAGGGCAGATTCTTCAGGTTGTTATTCAGTGCAATCTACTTATTCATGGCTATTTGAACTTTTTGGTGGTCCTAATAGTGTAGATCAGTGTACAACAGATGCCTTGCAAAGGCTATGAAAAGGGAAGGTCCCTTTTAAGTGTCTAGTATTTTCTTGACAACTGTTGTTGAATGCACTTCCTTGTAAAGGTTTGCTGATTGATCGTGGGGTTCAAATTGATGATATAACTTGTTGCTTCTATCATGGTTTGGAGGAACTTCCAACCCATTTATTTTTAACTTGTTGGCTTGGATTCTCACTAGCCTTGCTTTAAGATTTATCGACTCACTTGCTTTCTTGGGTTGGTGTTGGCTGTAGTAAAAGAGAAGGGATATGCTTATTAATTGTTTGGGTAAATACAGTGTGGTCTTTGTGGTTATATAGAAATAGAATTGTATTTTTTAATGGTGTTTTAGATGGGAAGGATGTCCTAGATTCTATTATTCTGAGGTCCTAGAAATGGCTATTACTTGTTAGTAAAGGAAAAGCTATTATGTTAGCTGATTGGTATTTGAACCCATGAAATTGTATCCGTCTTAACTTTGTATAAGTATATATTTGCGTTTTATTTCTTTGAGTAAATAATATTTTTTCTGTATATATGGGTTTTGAGTTTCTCTTGAACTCTCTCTAATAATATTTGTTTTGCCTATAAAAAAAATTGTAAAAACAAAAATATATAGAAACAAGAATAAATTGTATTAACTAAACAAAGTAATAGATATTATAATTTAGATAAATTATAGAAATAACAATATTTAAATATTTAAAATAACTAGTTTTAAAGTTTGATAGAATGAATTAGAGCTGTTTAATAATTAAATTTATCTTAGTAGTCTGTAGGGAATGTGGAAATGATGTTTCATATGACGTCTATGGTCACAACATAGGTCTCGTTTAGTAACTAAGATTGACGTAAATGTTCTAAAAATCAAATAAAAAAATTCGATATCTTATATAATTTAAATGAATTAAACTTGTAAAGATAGATGTGTGGTCCAAAAAAAAATAAGGAAAGAAAAAAAAATAACATGACATAGTTGTATTAAAGTTTTGAAATGTCACCGCAGTTGGAAAAAGTTAAGTCTAGTTTAAGAACATGGCCAGTTAAGAAAAAATAATATAACATATATATTTGTTTTTACTCACTGCATTTCTCTCCTTCAATATCAATATCAACCCTTCATCAAATCTTATTTACAGGCTAGCTTCCCCAGATTTTCTTGAATTTGGACGAGAGTATGGTGTGATGGAAGGGTTAGAAGAGCTCAAGAACACTGTTGAATCCATCAATGATAAGCTTCTTGATGCCGACGATAATCAAGATCAAAACGGTGGTGTGCGAGTTTGGATCAGAAAGTTCAAAAAAGTACTTCATCATGCAGATGACTTTTTAGATGACCTCGCTATCGAATTCAGGAGAGACAAATTGGGTGCAGCAGAAGGAAAAGAAGTAAACAAGGTACTTCTTTCCATTTCATCTTCAAATCAAATTCCTTTAGACAATGAAATGCCTGACAAGATTAAAGAAATACGAGAAAGTTTTAATGATGTAGTAAAAGAAATGAAGGATTTGAATTTAAGCCCAAGATCAGGGGTAGTCAAGCAGACTAACCGTGAATGGAGGGAAACATGTTCTTTTGTGTTGGAATCAGATATCATTGGAAGAGATGACAGTACAAAAGAGATTATTAGTCTGTTGAGGCAACCACATGAAAAGCAAAGAGTTTCTGTGATTGCTATTGTTGGCATTGGTGGTTTAGGGAAGACAACACTTGCTCAGTTGGTGTATAATGACATGGAAGTGAGGAACTCTTTTGAAATGCAAATGTGGGTGTGTGTCTCTGATAACTTTGATGTGAAAACTATTCTGAAGGAAATACTAGAGTCAATTCTAGGTGTCCAAGTTGAAGACAAGTCATCGTTAGACAAATTGCAAAGAGAACTTCAGCAAAAAATAAGTGGTAAGAAATATTTGTTGGTCCTGGATGACATTTGGAACGAGAGACATGACAAATGGGCTGAATTGAGAAAGTACTTAATGTGTGGCGCTCAAGATAGCAAGATTTTAGTGACAACTAGAAGTAAAAAGGTAGCAAAAGCAATGACCGCTAGCACTTCCTATCTTTTGAAAGGTTTGACTGACGAGGAATCTTGGAGTTTGTTGAAGAACATTGCATTTGAGGGTGATTCTAAAGGAGTAAATCAAAATCTAGAATCAATGGGGAAAGAAATAGCTAAAAATTGCAAAGGGGTTCCATTGGCAGTTAAAACGCTGGGAGGCCTGTTAAGAGAACAAACTGAAGAAAGAGAATGGGAGAATGTTTTACGCGGTGGCTTCTGGAAATCATGTGAAGAGCAAGATAGTATCATGCCAATTCTAAAACTCAGTTACCACAACTTGTCGCCAGAAATGAGACAATGTTTTGCTTACTGCTCTTTGTATCCCAAGGATTCAAGAATTCCAAAGGACAAGTTGATTCAGTTATGGACGGCACAGGGTTACCTTGAATTTTCAGCTGAAAAACACAGCATGGACGTGGAAGATATTGGTAACCAATTTGTAAGCACGTTTTTTCTGAACTCATTTTTTCAAGACGCTGAAAGTGATAAACACGGCAGGATCATTAGATTCAGAATGCATGATTTAATGCATGATCTTGCAATGCTTGTTGCTGGCAATGATTGTTGTTACTTGGATAGTATGGCGGAAAAGGTTGAAGGTAGTCCCATGCACGTATCTTTGGAATCTAGGGCCATTCATTTATTGAATTCATTAGATAAAAGCAGGCTGCGAACTTTGATTTTGCCGGATCATCGCAATTTTGATGAGGAGGAAGTGCCTGTTGCCAATTTCAAATACTTGCACGTCTTGAAGATTTCAACTGATTATTTTCACAAATCGTCTGATTCAATTGAAGGATTGAAGCATTTAAGATATCTTGGTTGTGCTGGTTATTTCCCCTTAAATGGGATGCGTGGGTTGGGAAAATTACACTCGTTGCAATTCTTACCAGTCTTTGATGTAAGTAGCCAGGAAACAGGCTATGGCACACTAAATGAATTGAAAGATTTAAACCAGCTGAGGGGAGAATTAAGAATTGAGAATCTCGATTGGGTGGGAAACGTGGCTCTGGAATCACAGGATGTAAATTTAAAAGAAAAAAAATTCCTTAAATCCTTGACTCTAGATTGGTATAATGAGTATTATGATGAATGGCCAAACCACACCCGTGACTGTGACAGTGACAGTGACAACTTACAGTTATTAAAAAACCTTCAGCCCCACAGCAATCTTAAGCAATTGAAGGTGAGTTATTACCGAGGCGTGCATTTCCCATACTGGCTTTCTCTCCTCACAAATGTTGTTCACATCTCTCTCTTTAGCATTGGATGCCGCTGTCTCCCATCGATGGAACGTCTCCCGTCTCTGAAGTCACTTGAGATAAGATTTCTTGCTGAATTGGAATACATATATCTTTCCGAAGATTTTGCAGTAACCTTCTTCCCCTCTTTGGAGAGCCTCGTATTATCATATTGTTCTAAGCTAAGGGGATGGCGGAGGAGGAGGGTGGGATATGATATCAATGATTCACATAATCTCTCCTTAACTCTTTCATTTACTAATCTTTCTCAACTAGATGTCTATTCCTGTTCACAGTTGACTTGCATGCCTACTTTTCCAAAAGTCAAGGTTTTAAAATGGGGTCAATATAGTGCTGCGGAGCCATTAATAGCAACATTAAACACAACATGTTCAGCTGACTCATCTTCATCCGCTGCTCCTCTTTCTATGCTCAAAGAACTTACGATTTCTGATCCTACCAAGTTACCAAAGGGTTGGATGCAAAATCTGATTTCTCTCGAGTCTCTTCAAGTTGAACGGCATGGAAGTGAAACGCTAGAGGAATTTGAAACTGGCTTTAAGGATGGCACCGACTGCCTTCCTTCTCTGCGAAAAATGAACGTGTCTTCGTGTGTAAGGCTAAAGGCTTTGCCAGATTGGATTTGCAATCTCTCATCGCTTCAACATATCGAGGTCTCATTCTGCCAAAAATTGGAGTCGCTGCCCGAAGGGATGAGTGGTCTTACCAACTTAAAGATCTTTGAGGTCATCAACTGTTCCCTCTTACTTGAAGAATGCCGAACACAGACAAGTGCTGTTAGTCGCCAAATCGCACACATCCCACAAATTATCCTTCGTGAAAAGTGATGATAAAGGTACTCATCTGATTCTGATGCGTATTTAAGTTATTTCTCATAATCAAGTGAAAAATTGCATGCTATTAGTATTTAAAAATAAAAGTCTAGTAGGAAAGACACTGATGGGTATTAGGTACATTGACTTTTCATTCAAGAAATCAGTTTTACTTAATTATTCACATTTTTCTTTTCTTTTATTCAAAGCACAACTACTATTTACAATAGTTCAAATGCTGTTTGTCTTAGTCACTCAACCTAAGAAGGATAGTCTACAATTGCCTTGAAAATGTCAAAATGCAACACAATTAACCAATTTCAAAAGCAAGAATCTAACCCCAAGACTTATGATCTCAAATTTATAGTGCTGCTCTTCAAATTGAGGTTTAACCTCATTATTAACTTGTGCAATAAAAGTTGATAGTAAAAAATTGAATTACTAAATAACATTAATTTTAATTAAAGAATAAGATCCTAAATATTTACATAACAGTACTAAGTTTTTTCATACTGTTTATAAATTATTGAAAAGAGTGCTATAGTAAATGTAAGTCTAGAAAAACACCTCATTTACAATGTATTGAACCTTTTGATCTATACATCAACGCATTTAATTCAATCAAAACCAATTTCATTAGGATTCATCCGTGTTTCAATCTAATAGCATTTCTACCAAGCCAAATGCAAATCTCGAGTTTACAATAATTTAATAAATAAATGAGTAGAAATATATTGTTACTGTGACAGCAAAATTAAAATTTGCCTTCATGTAGATTTCATCTATCTATTATCTCACCCAATTTCTATCTATTGTTAATGGTCAAGGAAAGGCTCTATACGCCCCAAGATATAAGCTGAAAGTTCAAGATGACATAAAATTGGCTAACGTGAGGCTTACTATTTCATCAAATCCATTTTCTCACTGTAACTAACTTTTTCCACCCCATACACTCATCACACACCTTTCTTAATTCCAATGGAGACTTAGATTTAGGTGTATGAGATTGAGGATACATTCGTAAGACTTCCTTGGCTCAGTCTGCTCAACTGCTTTTGTGCTTTTGAGTTTGAGAACCTTGGTCTAAATTGTGTTTGTGTTGTCAACTCCAAAAGAAACCAATTGTTTAATGGACAGATAAAAAGTTATCCTATAGAAATTTTAACAAAATAAATATGTTGCAAGGTAAATTGTTTAGGATTACTATTTTTGGATGTACATTATGCATCAAGTTACATCACATCACAGTGCTTTCCCAAATAATATATAACCTAGTTCTGATCTGCTACTACATGCATGCCATTCCATGAGAACATGCACATTTCCATTTCCTAGTCAACCTAGTCAATTTCTCTTCCAGTATTAAGATGATAACACCATTATTTGTCACCTCTTGCACACATAAATTGGTACTAATGTATGCTATTAAGGGTCTATGCATGAACCTTCCCAAATAAACCACAAATGCTGGAAAGTGAATAGGTAATATCATCATAATCCTTGTCAAGGTTGAATACTTACTAACAATGCGACGAAAGAATCAGAAGCTAAAGAAATAAAAGGTGATCCCATGGCATGGATCTCACTCTTGTTTTGTACAAGAATCGTAAAGAAATAAGTGAAATGCAATCAACTCTTCTTTAACAAAAATGCTTCACACTTGCCTTTCTTGCCTTCTGCTCCTTATATAATGCGTTCCTAGCAGTCTTTCCTATCTTCATTCTTATCTCTCTCAATAACTCTTTCTTCATTCTCTGCTTCGTTTTGTGGTTTAAAGATGAGTCAGATTCCTGAAGAATGCTTAAGCAGAAGATGAGTGAGTTTGCAAAGGAAATGCATGCGGACCAGTTTCATAGCGCAAGGACTAGTTGCCCCTTTTACAAACATCATTAATTTGTTTATGTTATTTTCCTAAGACGACCATTTTTGTGTTCATTTTTTAAGAGTAATTTTAGATTATTTTCATTGAGGTGTTCTGTTTCTGTTTGTATGTCATCCAAAAAAGAAGCTAAGGTCTCATGTGGAGTCATTTTATTGTTACTGACCCAACATAGTAAATTTGTTATCATGGTTTATGTAAATGGAACCTTCAATTTATTTATTTTTTCAAGTTATCTAATTTTAATTGTTTTAATTGTTAAATCCTAAGGCTTTTCATATTGGCCAAGGTTATGATTTTTAGTGTTCCCAAAATTATTAACTATTTTTATGGTTATTTTATTTAATGTATGTTAAATATATTTTATTAAACACTTTAAACTGTGGATTGAATTATTTTATAATTTTGAAAAAATAAATATTTTATTTTTAATTCAAAAAAATAGTCTTAACTTCTACACACATGTTAGAAAAATCAATTTTTTAACATGTCAAGATAAAAAAAAAAAATCATAAAATTGAAGTGCATTAATTTAGGTGTTTTGTGTTATTTTTTAATTAAATTAAAACTTTATTTTAATATTTTACACCATGAGAATTAGCATTGAAGGTAAGCAGCCATTAATGAGATATAATTTTAATTTTAATTAAAAAATATAAAATGTATTTATAATATTAAAGGTAACTTTAGTCTTAAATTATTATAGTAACATTGTAATGAAAATCATAAAATTTAATTAATTCAATACATATGAAGTGTTTTATTTTTAATTAAATTTAATAATTATTATATGTACAATATTATAGTAATTTAAAAAATTAAGATGCTTTTCATGATAATCCGCGAGTGCATCTGCATGTTTTAGTTGTTGTTTTAACGGTTATAGTTAAATGTATGATAACAAATAAAAATAAAATAAAAATTTTAATTTAAGCTCTTAAGACTAATATTAAGTAATTAACTATAAAAAGTTTTATTAAAAGAAAATAATTATTATATTTTTATAACTTTTAATATAAAAAAATGTATTTAATGTATCACAATTAAAAAAATAGTACATATAATATATTTAATGTATACTAAAATAGTAAAATAGATAACATTATGTCATATATTTAATGTTTGAGATAAATAATAATAATAATAAAAGTTACAAAATTACTCTTTTATTAAAATTATAATTTCTTAAAAAAATTTATTTAAATTTTTAATAAAAATATATAAATTAAAATTTTGATATTAAATTATAATAAATTTTTTCAATTTTTTTACTGTTAAAATTTATTTATAATGATAAAAAAAAATTAGTAGCTAAAAATTAAGTGTATTATGAAAATAAGATTAAATTATAATACAAGTATTTTCTAAATCAGTTTTAATTTCATAATTAAAAGTTATAATTTGTTAGAATACGTTGATACTTATTTAAAAATTATAATATATTTTTTTTCATTTTGATCTTTTCGTCTAATATAATTAACATGTATTAAATAAAACATATATATAATTACTTGTGTAAAAACTAAATTATAGTAATTTTTATGTAAGAACTAAATTAAAAAATGTTAAGTATAATAGTATATACATACTAAAATTATAATTTAACCTAATTTTTATGTAAAATTATAAAATTTAATATAAATTTTATTTAAAATAATATTATAAATTTAATAAAAATTAATTAATTGTTTTTTATTATATAGTTTTTGGAATTGGTTAAGAAAACATTTATAATATTGTTTTTTAACACTAATTTTTGAAGTTAATTTTAAGAATATAAATTGTTTAAAAGGTTAATATTTACTACATTAAACTTTAAAGTGTAATAAATATTTTTATTTGAAGGATAGTTGAGGTGAGTGAGACTCTAGTCCATGCCAACAACATTCTTCAACTCTTAACATATCACTTGAGTTTTTTTTTTTTTTTTTTTTTTTGCATGCATGCTTATTGGTTTTTTAGTAGCTAATATTTGCTTTTTTGAGAGCCTTCAAGCATAGGGGTGGGTAAAAATTCAAAATAAAAATTCAGTCCATAACCTAAGTCTAACTAAATTTATAAATTTAAATTTTTAAAGAAACCCAAAAACATAATTTATTGGAAAAAAAAATAATCTAATATTTCAAGATAAAAATAAAGAAATATTCTATGCTCTAGTAAACATGAAACAATCATGATCGTTAATTTTAGTAATAAAATTATTAATGTATTTAAAAAAAGATGTAAATATCTTTTAATATTTCTTTAGAGAAACTCCTCAATATCTCTTAAGTTTATAGTAACAAGTAACCTATATCAAAAATGAATATGATTTGAAAACACTAGATTTCTAATCCTCAACAATGTTAATTAGCTTACAATAGTAAAGATTGATTTGAAAATAGTAATCCGCAGATTGCAACAAGGATTCAATCGTAGCATAGCAACCTGGATTCACTCGCAGCATCACAGGTACTTTTCCCTCCTCTTCAATGAATTTTTCGATATTATGAAACCTGAGCACACTGTTTAAGATATTTTCATGCCAAAATAGGAATAGGGTGGTATGTGGGAACAAACAAGAGTAAAAGAGGGTGTTTGGCTTCTTCCTTTCTGGTTCTTATGGAGAGAAGGAATCAGAGAGACTGACATTAGAGGGTAATGTGAATAGAACCTAGTTTTTGGAACACATTGTTCTTTATACAAATTCAAAGTCACCGATACAAAAATGATTCTTCTTACTGTTATCCCTTTTTTTGCTTGTTACTGTACTCTTGGACTTGAGGGCATGAATATTTTATTTAAATTATACTAAAATATTAAAGGATATTTATGTTCTTTTTTTTAAATAAACTATTAACTTCATTGTTAAATTGTTCCAAATATAAAATAGTATAGAATACCTTCTCAGAACATGGTAGAATTTATCTCTTTTTTTTCTTTACTCTTTTTTCTGTATTATCTTTGGCCCTTTTCTTTTCCTCCTTATTAGAGTTTGTGATCATGAAGAAGAAGAAATTAGAATAATTTTTTATTAATTCCGTGAAAGATTACAAGAGAGGTATTTTTCACAAAGATAAAACTGATAGACTATATCAGCAAGAATAAACTATAACAAAACAATAACTAACTAATTGCTTAACAAGTTTCCTTTACACCCCCCTTCAAACTCATGGTGGAAGCTGATGAAACCTTGAGTTTGGATCTAAATATTAGAAATTGAGGATTTGAAACAGCTTTAGTGAGAATATCAACAACCTAAAATTCAACAATGAACAACAACAAGCTCCCATGACAAGACTTTATCACGAACAAAATGCAAATCTAACTCAAAATGCTTTGTGTGAGAATGCATAAAAGGATTAGCAGCAAGGTAGACAGCACCTAAATTATCACAATAAATTCTTGGCAATGCAACTGGAACACGCAACTCTCTCAACAAATTCTGTAGCCATAACATATCAGCAGTGACAGTAGTCAGTCCTCCATACTCAACCTCAGTACTACTTCGAGAAACAACAACTTACTTCCTAGAAGACCATGATACAAGATTTGGTTCAAGGTACACACAATAACCTATGGTAAACTTTCTATCATCAGGGTTTGAACCCCAATTTAGGTCACAAAACCCCATGATATGTAGCTACTGCGAAGGTTTTATGTGCAAGCCATATATGATTGAACCTTGGAGATATCTTAAAATCCACTTTACTACCTGTCAATTATGCTCTTGTGGTCTATGTATAAATTGACAGACCTTATTAACGGAGAATGAAATTTCAAGCCTTGTCGCAATAATGTATTAAAGAGTTTCTACAATGCTCCTATAGTGAGTAGGATCATGAACTGAAAAAGACCCATCAGCAGTAAGCTTTAAACCAGAAACCACGGGAGTTGGCTGAGGTTTAGAGTCTAACAGATTGGTTTTATAAAGTAGGTCTCTTATGTATTTTGATTGAGACAATAGAATACCACCATCACAATGATGTTGAAACTCAATGCCAAGAAAATCATAAAGAGAACCTAGGTCCTTCAAAGAAAACTCGTGGTTAAGATGAGCAATAAGAGAGATGATTTCAAAAGAAAAAGAAGAGCTAGTGATGATAATATCATCAACATACACCAGCACATAGGTTTTAGAGGTAGTGTAAATCTCATGAAGAGAGAAGTATCACTTTTGGTTGAATTAAATCCCAAGGACCTCAAAGTCATACTGAGTTTATGAAACTAAGCCACAAAGAACTTTGAGCAGTTTGCATACTTTGTGTTTGTTAGATGAAACAAAGCCTAGTGGTTGAGTCATATATATAGTTTCTTGAAGATTTCCATGTAAAAAGATATTGTTGATGTCCACTTGATGAATAGGCCATTACTGAGAAATTGTAAGTGTCAGAACAGTTCTAACTGTTGTTGGCTTAATCACTAGACTAAAGGTTTCTTTAAAATCAAACTCCTTTCTTTGATGATACCCCTTTGCTGCCAGCCTAGCTTTGTGCCTTTGAAAACTTCCATCAGCATTAAACTTGCTTTTAAACACCCATTTGCAACCTATGGGCTTATAACCAGGAGGAGGATCCACAAGGGACCATGTATCATTTCTGATAAGTGTGTCATGTTCTTCTTTCATAGCTTTGAGCCATTCAGGCTTGGCCATTGCTTCCTTTATAGTATGTGGCTCAACAATGTGATCATAGCTCCCTTCCTTGTAAAAAGCATAAGTTTTCGGTTTAAAGACACCAACTTTGGCTCTGGTTGTCATTTGATGAGTATTCTGAGGAACAGAACCTGCAATAGGAGACGAAATAACTATGGCAAAAGAATCATTATTATCACACTGTAAAGGAACATTAGATAATAAATCAGTTGTATCATTATCATTTTAGAAATTCTGAGCAGTAGGAGATAAAATGAGTAAAGGATTATAGGAGGTAGAATTGGAAGAAGGAGAAGAATAGACAGAAAAAAAAGGTTGGCAGGAAGTTTATAAGAAAAAACTGACCAATGAAAGATGACATGTCTAGAGACATAGCATTTGCCAGAAAATGAGAGACATTTATAACCGTTGTGCTGAGAACTATAATCAATGAATAAGCACATATGTGATCGAAAATAAAGTTTATGTTTATTATAAGGTCTTAACAAGGGATAACAAGCACATCCACAAACTCTCAAGAACTTATAATTTGGCTTTTTATGAAACAATTTTTCAAAAGGTCTCATATTTTTATTTTTAAGGGCAAGTGAAGGAAGACAATTGATTATAGTAACTACA